ACGTTGCTCAGGGAAGTGCAAGATGGTCGATTGAGCCGACCCCATCATGGCAGATATACAGACAGTAACCATACCACCATAGTAAGGAATGAACTTGTCAACGTTAGTCAGCCAATAGTCCTCACTCTGGGTAGAGCCAGCATCGAAGAATACACAACCAAAGAGGAGATTGAGGATGATAAGAACGCTATATCGAGCAATGAGTACTGGCTTGTTACGGAACGTGTCCCTGGCATCACGAAGGAAAAGCTCCGTCAACTGCGCCGTCATACTAGATGGCCTAGACTTTGCCTTCAACGGTGGAGCATCGTCGCCTTTCGCCCTAGACGCTTTAATGCCAGGTATGATTCTGGCTTGGGCCTTCTTTTTATAGGTTGCAGCCAGTTTCTCTATCTCTTCCTCAGACGCGGTTTGGAGCTCAGAGAGGACGAAGTCTGCTGGGTTGTAATCAGATGGACACTGTTTCGATGTACTATCCTGGATGAAGGCTTTGAGATCGGCAGTCGGGCCCAAGTACACCATTCTACCACTGCAAATAACCAGAGTGTTATCAAACATAGAGTAGATCTCACTCGACGGTTGATGGACTGTTACCACCACGGCTACACCTGACCGAGCCAGGTCCTTGAGAACTTTCATAGTAGTTACAGCAGCATAAGAATCGAGGCCAGAGAGAGGTTCGTCAAGGAATATCATCTGCGGCTTGGAGATGAGCTCCATCCCAACCGACGTGCGCTTTCGCTCGCCGCCGGAAATGCCTCTGATCACGTCGTTACCCACCACGGTATTTTCACACGAAGTCAACTTCAACGAATCTAGGAGATCCGTGACCAAAGCTTCGACCTGCGCAGAAAAGAATAATCTCGCGAACACGAAGGCAAAGGCCTCGTATTTAACAGCTTACTTCAGCTTTGCTCTGATCATGCATCCTCAGACGGGCTGACATCTCCAAGATCTCCCTCGGGGTAGCAGTGGCAGTAAGATGATCATCTTGCATGACATATGCTATGTGACTTCGGAAATTGAAAGGATCTTGAACCTTGCCGTTGAAGGAGATTTCACCGTCAAAAGTTCTGCCGTCCCCACGTAGGCTCTGTCGTCCACCCAAAACGTTCATCAATGTGGACTTGCCAGAGCCCGAAGGACCAAGAACAGCTGTGAGCTCTCCTGGCCGCACCATTCCAGTGCAGTCAATGAGAATCCTCTTGTCCTTTATACTGAAGTCAACATTAGTCCACTCCAGACTCGCACCACTAAAGTGCCAGTCAATGAGCTATTATGAAGTCCTCGAAGCGACTTACTTTATTTTAGATCCACTAACGGAAAGCGATCGGAAGTTCCGTAGATCAGCAATAGGATCTTCCGGAGAGGCAGTGGGGGTTTGAGAAGTCATGACCTTATACGTAACAACAAATTCCGTAAACCAAATCTTATACAGTGCAAGTGGTCATCACTCTGGGAAACGCAACAAACAGCGGTTGAAGGAAGAAGAGCGACAGACAACGCCTGTCAATGGAATACTATCAAGGAGTCTCAAACAGCGGTCCGTTTGGATGCTACTGGAAGTTTCATCATTATTACGTCCTACAGCTCTTTTAAAAGCATAGAAAATAATCACTTACCAAACCATTGTGGTGGAACAAAGCGTCTGCTTAGTGACGGTAACCAAAGAAGAGTGGCAGTCGAGATTCTGAGGACTAACAGCCCTGCGTCCATCGAAGTACTGCTGTCTCCTCAGCTGCCTAATACACATACCGAGCCTTACGTTTCAGAATCACAGTCGCCAAGATGCGCAGTATGATGAGCATTGCCAACAAAACACCGATGTACAACCCAACAAGATCAGCATGGATGTCATTAGCCTCGTTCAGGAGGGTCATATCGAAGCCGAATTCATTGAAGTATGCCAAGGAACCAGTGTACTTGAGGAAGCTCAAATACTGCAACCATCGTAACCACACCGGTATTTCACTTATAGGAGTGAACAAACCAGAGAAGATCATCTGAGGGACCAAAATGAGCGGCATAAACTGCATTGCTTGGGCGCCAGAGTTAGCCAGAGCACCGAGGAACTGGGCAAAGGATGCCGATACTAAGTTGATAAGAATGTTACTCAAAACCCATAAGATCCAGCTGCCTTGAAAGTTTAGCATAAAGTAG